TGGTTAAATATTAGCCTTTTGGGATAAAAATGGCGCCCTAAAAAGCATATTCTACGTTACTTTTTTTTGGGCCCCCCCTAAAATAAATTCCTGTATCCGCCCCTGAGACGAATTTAACGTGACTTCGAAGATTCTAGACCTAGGTACTCTAAGAATATATGATTTTCACGCCACTATTAGGCAAATTTTGAAAAAAAAAGCGCTTGAATTGACATAAAAATTACTATTACGATACAAGCTTGATTTTAATAAATATTAGTAACACTGACAGAACTAATGATATTAAAAAAAACAACTGTAATAAGAAAGTGTACAGGGTGGGTCAAATTCGACGCTTTTAAATGGAAACACCCTTTTCTATTGGAGATAGACGAAAAATAATATCGGTATCTGGAGCTCAATCTTCATCAAAAACATGATGGTGAAAACCGCTCATCAATATTTTTTTACGTAGAATTTAATGGTTTAAGTATAATTTTTTTAAAATTAATAATTTAAGAGTTGTCAACAGAAAAATTGATTTTTATTTGGGATACCCTCTATATTTTTAATTAACTGAATAGAATTTAAAATTACCTCTCCAAAAATATAGCACACTTGATATTTTGTTATAAATCCCCTTCGAAATACATAATTATTAAAAGTTCGCCACTTTTAACTAGTAGGCTTTGGACCTCTTATTGATGATATGCGCTTAATGGAACTCGAAAACATATTTTTCCAGCAAGACGATGCACCGCCTCTGAACACTGAAGTTTTCAGCAAATTTTTGCAGCCAATTTTAAGAATAATTGCTTAGCTAACCAAAATCTCAGCCGTTGGCCGTCGAGGCCGCCTGACTTAGTGCCCATGGATCTAATCCTATGGATATATTTGCGGAAGAATAAAGGTTCCTTATTCTTCCGTATAATCTAGACAAGAATTAGAAATACTTAGCAGTTATGAGAGAGTATCTTGCACTCCCACTGAGTTAATGAATTCCGCGAGAAATGTTCAAAAACTGCCCCGTCTGTCCATAACAGAAGACGGTCGATATGTCACAACACGTGTAGCAAAATCTCATGTCTTGGTCTTGGTTTGCCATTTATTTTTATTGTTATTAGATATAGTTTAAATGTGTTGATGTTGGTTAAATATATTTTAAATTGTTATAAAATTCTGCATCTCTCATAGCAAAAATCATTTTCGTTTTAATTGATGCTCACAACTAGAATTTTTTTGCATTACAGCCGGTGCCGTTCAAAGCCTACTTATTTAAAGCGGGCGAATTTTTATGTACTCTATATCTCGAAGAGGAATCGAGCAAAATATCAAATGTGTTATATTTTTGGAAAGGTAATTTTAAATGCTTTTCAATAAAGTAAAAATATACAGGGTTTCCCATATAAAGAATCAAATTTTCTGTTGATAAGTCTTAAATTATTAATTTAAAAAAAAATTATACTTAAACCATTAAATTCTACGTAAAAAGGTGCTTTGGAAATGTTTTCATAAAAATACAAAATTTTCCACAGCAAAAAAGTTACAGCGATTTGTTAAAAATGCAGATTTTTGAAAAACTAACTTGTAACTCCGAAACTGTAACGGATATCGATATGCGGTTTTCACCATTATGTTTTTGATAAAAATTGAGCTCCAGATACCGATATTAGTTTTTGTCTATTTCCTATAGAAAAGGGTGTTTCCATTTAAAAGCGTCGAATTTGACCCACCCTGTACATACAAAAAAAATTGTAAAAATACTCTAATACATTGCCTCCCCGGCTGCTATAACTGTCTCTAGACGTCGCCGTGGGTTCATACTGTTAATGAGGCTGCAAATATATTGTGTTATGTTTTCCCATTCTTCTTCAAGGACCAAGCGAATATTCATAATTTTAGCCTTTTCAACAAGATCAAAGACTTTTGCACAATCTTTGACACTAAGAACTATATTCTATTGTACACAACAATAATCACCAAAGCCACCTCGTCATTATGAAGAATAGCATTAAAAAGAAACGATAATTGGAAAAATTGCAAAATGTTTGTGTGGCAAGTCCATTTTACTCTTAAAAATTAACACAGGCATGTATTGACATGAGTCAAAAAATAAAATATTCAGGAGACATGGTTCTGACCGAAAAATAATATTTTAGGAAAATTTGCACACGAAATGATTGTACAAGGTGTTTTAAAGATAGGATAAAAAACAACTCTTCGATTAACCCTGTATAATAAGTCAAATTTTTGTTTACGAATTAAAATTGATATTTTTATATACAGTTTGCTAAAAGAATGAAAGAAATAGGGCTAAAAATAAAAAAATAGAACAATGTAAACTTGACCGAAAATTTTTCCGTTGCGATTTTTTGGATCTGAGTAGATTTTTTGCTTTGCTAAAAAACTTTTTTTTGGCATTATTAACTATGTTTCGTATCTAATAAACAAAGATACATAACAAAAGCGACATCCAAGAGAAAGGAACTTTTACGAGTTACATATATTTATCAAGAGAGGCAGAAGAGACGGAACAAAAGACATTAAAAAAAATTAATGGCGATTTGGAAGATAACACTGAGATACTTAATTTAGGCGGAATGTAGGGATATTTATTGTGGAAGATATAAATTACTAACGCATACTCTCGACACACAGTCTACAGATTCCCGGAAACAAGAGCAGAGAAACGGGTTTTGTTAGTTTAGGAATCGTCGAACAAAGCTTTTTAGAAATAGTTGTTAAGTTAGTCATATTCATTAGCAGTTTTAAAATAAAAATAATACGTTAAAGCTATTAAATTCGGTTTATTTGTCTGTCTATTATACATGTGTATCATAATGTCTATTCTTGTTTTAGAGGCAGTTATGTTTATTTAGAGATTGAACCTTTAATATGGCTCTTTGCTAATGTATTCCTATCATCTCCTAGTATAAAGAACCATACATTTACCTCGCACTGACATTGGATGTGTTCTATCATTTTTTTGACGGAATATGCACATATCTTCGTCTTTTAATTCCATCAGCTTTAAATGTCTATTGCACTTACAATGTTCTGTTAGAAAGCCCAGTATATTTGACACATTTTTTGTTGATACATCGTTCTATCCTGTTCAGCACGTCTGGCTAGTGTCCAATAGCTGGACACTAGCCAAAATTTACGCCAGACCTGGCGAAAGAGATCATAGGATCTCTTTCGTCTGTCACTGTCCTTTTGAATTTTTCACCATTCTAGAGGTTTGTCGGTTTACAGAACTTTGGACCATTTTTGGACCACTGGATAAATGGCATTGATAATGATGTTTTACCTTATTACTTTCCCTTATGATCCTCAGATTTGTAAATATGGCACTAAAATGCCAAGAAACATTCTCGTTCATACAAAACCGGCTAGTAGACGAATTACAGTCGGCTGAGATTCTGTGAATGATCTCAGATCTCGCACCACAGGTCCAACTCTTAACACGCACTTGCAACGTCCTGTTTCCGAATAGGAATTAATGGAATAAGCCGAGAAATGGTTTATTACATGCGGAAATGTGTTGGTACAGGGACGGATCCAAGAAAGGAAAAGGACCTGACGGATGAATTTACTGCAGCAGTCCAACCACTGAGATTTACCACAGTCTTAGAAAACACACCGTAATTTTCCAAGCTGTGCTATATGCTATTGAATGACATTGAACATATTCTCGGGTAGTCAAGCCACGTTGAAAGCGCTTGAGGCAACGAAAAGCACGTCTATAACCATTCTTCATTGTAGGAAACTAAGTACTCAATTCATTAGGAAATAGTAACAAAGTGTTACTAATATAGATACCATGACATGTCGACCTAGAGGGTAACGAACGTGCTGATTCCCTCGCCAAAACAGGTGCAGGTTCGCCATTCGTGGGCCTAGAACCGACACTTAGCGTTTCAAAAAATATCGCAAGAGACAGGCTCTGTGAATGGGTTGGGGTGTCGAATGGAACATGCCAAGAAAATCCTAGCAGAGCCATCCAAGTTCAGAACAGGAACACTCTTAAAGGCCGCCAGGAATGGAGCGTGTACGTTTCTGCTGTATACACTGGCCGCTGCCGGCTGTGATCACACCTACAGAGGATAGGACTGGTGGAAGACGCCGAATGCCGACTCTGTATGGAAGTTGGCGAAACCATGAAGCACGTTATGTGTACCTGCTTCGCTGGGAGCAGGACCAGATTTGAAGTGTTTGGCAAAACCCTGCTAGAACTTATCAGACCTAGGAGATATATCACTCTCGGACATAACAGCCTATGTTAAACGGTTGGGTCTTGAGGGTGAACTTTAAGAATCTTTTTTGTTTAAAGAGTTTGTAGTACTGAGCCACAATAGGCCTTCGAGGCCGCAGTGAACGACACCAGGAGGGTGTTCTCACTTGGAACCCATTCTTAATAAATATAAAAATGACCTTAATGCCATGATACCCAGGCTAACGTAACTTTATTTCGCTCTCCTAATGTATTTACAGGACGCACACAATCCAATACTGGTCTAAAAGTGATCTCTATGGAAACAAGTGATTTAGCATTGCTTGGCAATTTGTCAAGTTGGCAAATGAACACTCTCACTTTCCTGCTTTTTATTATTTATTCTCCACAAAAATAAATTACCCTTATTTCCACCTGAAAATTTCGGACATCTTCCAGCCTCTACACCCTCTGCCATTGTAAAACAAATTGCCTCAGTTGGCAGACTTTTTTCAAGGCTTCCCTGCCTGGTTTCGTTAGTTTGAATTTTTACTTTTGAAATAAATACCTTCCGAGTTGCGTATATCCGTATTCATATCCCTGTGTTGATACAAGGTTTGCAGGATTTGCTGTTGTAATACCAAAGTGTTAACCTAATGTATAAATATTATCCACCAGAATCAGTGTTAGTTTTAATTATATTTGTAGATATTTTAACAACATTTAAATCGTAGTTAAAGTTTAAATTACTTTTAATGTCAGTACCATTACCACCTTCTAATAATTGTATTTATTTTATCATTTGCAGTGCACACATGGCTCCGGCATCTTCGAGCTCCAAGTGCTGGAGATGGCCAACCCGCGCAGCGAACTGTCCACCGGCCAGTGTTGTGGCACGAGCCAACGCTCGCCCATATCCAACCGGTGCTCGACGCCGTGCCAGACATTTTTCCGGCTGTGCCTGAAGGAGTACCAGAGCAACGTGACCAGCACGGGATCGTGTTCGTTCGGGAACGCGTCCAGCCAGGTGCTCGGCAGAGATACGTTCACGTTATCCGACCCGGACAGAGGGAAGCTGGTGCTGCCCTTTACGTTTAGATGGACGGTAAGTCGTACTCAGATGTATTGTGCATAATTAATAGTTTTACTAAATTCACATATTTATGTCTGATTTAAACGTTGTGCAAGTAAAAATGCAAAAGGAAATTAAAAACAACACTGGATTTAAAAAAAAAGAAATTTAAACCTTGGCACCACTCCTGTCGATTCTTATGTAAACTACCCTCCTGATTCCAAATATCATCAGTCAAATATGACCTCACCTATTTTGATACCTTTCTGGTTAATAATAATTATTTCTTTAACTGTAAACAATAATAAATAAAAATATATCTATTTTTATTTGGAGCTTGCTTGTCTTTTATTCCCTGAGGTATATAACTCTCTCGTCCCAAAAACTAACAGTGCTCAGTTGCTCCTAAATTTCCAGGAAAGAGTTAAAAGTTCTTTCACATAGTTTGGAGTGCAAACCAAGCTGATTTCTATTTTTGATTCAGATCTTCCATAAACGTTGAATCTTGGAAGAGGTGTCGACTCTGGGGACCCACAAAAACTAATTTCTTGATTTTGGTCTCACTAAGGCGAGGATATTTTAGCAGGGATAATTAGGGCACGCATAGCCAGCAATAGACAACAATGGGCCCAACTACAAAGAGAGTTGTAGTTGGGCCTTATACTTTGTTTGTTTATAACAAACAAGTCGTAATTTTTCCTACAGCTTGTAATTTTTGAAGTGCAAGTTAAAAACACTTTTGGTAAAAACAAGTGGAATTGAGTTGGTGTTCGACAGTGGTCGCGCTATTAGAACTCTGAATTCAAAAATCGATATCTCGAAATCCACTAGAAACAATTGATTGTAGTTTTTTTTTTCAAAAGCTTTCTTAATATTACTGCTATATTTTCTTCGCAGACAGTATGTGAAAATCTTTATAAATAAAATGTTACATGATTGCTGAAAATTGATATGCACTGCAAATAAATGGATGGGTTTTTTAAATTTTTGAATGGAAAAAACAAGCTTATCGAATTTTTCCTTATTTAAACATCTTGTAAAAGATCCAAACTTCAAAAAAAAACGGCCTGAATATATCTAAAGTGGTTCTTGAGTTACCTCGTGTTATGTGTTAAAAAGTTGAGTTTCTAAATTATCGCGATTTACTGACCTTTTCTCGTTAAAAAAGAATGAACACACTAACGATATCCTTATAATTATTCCATTTCAGATGCTCAGAAACGTATCTAATGATTTTATTTAGTTATATTTTCGAAAAAAAAGTCTTTTAAAAATAAGCGGTTTGCGATCGGGATTTTACTTTACTTGATAGGGAAAGGCGTATCGGAGAAATGTGACAACGCCGCAACAGCACACCGTCGCATTTTTCTCGCTCCGACTTAATAAGATTCCTATGCGATTTACTTCCACACATGTAAATACCGACCAAAAAGTAACAGTTGCCAGCACGGTATATTTATACCAAGGCAGTAAAAATATGTAGAAGTAACCCCCAGAACAGGGGGTTATGTAGGAAAGCTAAAATCATATTTGGATTCAGGAGGTCATTTTACATAAGAATCGACAAGATTGGTGCCAGAACCGATTTCCATGCAGACCAGTGTAATTGCAATGAAAGTTCGAAACTCATATAAGGTTACTTCTGAATTAATCTCTACCACTTTTACAAAAAAAAAACGACTGACTTTTTGACGTACTATATTTACCTGAAACACCACATAAAGAGCTCAAAATCTCTCACTGTAATAACTTATTCGCCAATTCTCTCTAACCCAGATCAAATCCGATCGTTTCTCCAATTAGCTCGTACTCCTAAGACGGTGAACAAGCGACATTAAACATATTAATGTAGTGGGCAACGTAGAAAAATATCGCGCAGCATTCCAACTGTTGCTTACCGTTAAATATGGGAAACGGCGACTTTTAGCTTTTGCTAAAAGGCAGGCAGGTTATATCCCCATCTAGAGAGCCGTACGAATACGGCCAAACCAAACACACTCCGCAGGCTTTAGGATATTTACTTTGCCATTTGCATAGAGGGGCCACGATATCTGACATATGTTACATATATACGTTCGGTTTTCTCCTTTTTTCTTCCTCTGGAGATGACTGTTTCAAGGCGCTTCAAAAATCGTTCGTCTGAACGAATATGGAATTTGAATTTAACGGGAAATCATCATGGTTGAGAAATTTTCGTGCGGTATGCAAGCTGCAATTCAAAAGGTGGCACGCCTTATTAGTAATCATACTATCTATTCCTTGTCTGACTTAAATTCATATTTATACAACTTGTAGATTTAAATAATGAATATAATAAACTTAAAACAATTATAGAGGGTGGTCCGAACTATATTCCAGAAACTGCGGTAGGATGTAGATATTTCATTTTTATTGCAATTTTTTCGAAATAATTTCTGAAGTAACGTCAATATTTGGATGAAAGTTAGTGTCTGCGAGTTTTTTGACATGATAAATTTGATTTTGATGTCAATATGACTCCTGTTTGTGTAGGACGCCACCTACATATTTTTTAACTGGTTTGAAGAGTAATAACTTTTTGTCCGTACCTGTATAAAACTACTGGGTAAAAAATATACATTTACGACGTTTTTTACGTTAAAAAGGTCTCTTGGTAAAAATTGCTATGAGTAATGGTTTTTGAGATATTTGAAATCGAAATTATCAATAACTGTTATCATTGACATAAATTAAACATGTTGACTAAATAGTTATTAGACTGAAATCATAAATTTGAAATTATTTTGCGTCAAAAGTCCAACAGAAACTGTTTTATCATCATATTTTTCGAAGAGTCCCAAATTTATCAGTAGTCAAATAACTATTCAACGTTTATTTCTTGTTAATAATGACATGTATTGACTACTTCCATTTTTAATGTCTTGAGAACGAGAGACATTTTTTACGTAGAAAATCACGGAAATGTATATTTTTTCACTCAGCAGTTTTATACAGGTACGGAAGAAAAGTTATTGCTCTTCAAAACAGTTAAAATACATGTAGGTGGCTCCCCTTACAAAGAGAAGTCATATTGACATCAAAATCAAATTCCTCATGTCAGAAAACTCCCTGACACCAATTTCCATCCAAATATTGACGTTACCTCAAAAATTATTTGGAAAAAAATTGAAATAAAAATTAAACTTCTCCACCCTGTATCTCCAAAACTAATCATTTTAGGACATACATTTACACGAACTTTTTTACTTATTTTTATGTGCAGAATATGCTGCCGAAGTTTCCGGAAAACCCACCTGTATATTTTGCCTCTGAAACTGAAAATTAATAGCATATTTTGTGTGATCTAATTTGATGGTTAAATGTTGTTTGGGTTCTTTCTGGCATTTCTAAAAAGCGATCTTCTGATTTCAACAAAAACATTGAATATTTTAAAATAATCTTTACTGGGATATCTTAAAAATTATGTTTCCTTTCATTTAAACTTCATCTTAACATTATGGCGTCTTTTTGTGAAAGTTGTGAAGAGCAAGAAGACAATTTCATATATCTGGTGGTATCGAAGTTTCCTTAAAAGCGCAAAGCCACTCAACGTCGTTTGGATAATTTAATTTGATTTATGGATAAGGTTCTATACAAAAAAGAAATATTTGCAGTTAAACTGCTTAATTATGATAAGCAGGCGTCGACGGCTATCAAACCAGATCGCCGACTGTTTTAAGAGGGCAGCTTTATTTGAGAAAGGTACAAGTTGTAAAATTTTACTGCTTTAGTGAGGAATATTTCAAATTTTATTGCATAGCGTTGAGATTTTTTTTCTTACTTTTTTTTTGTTTGAAGCTTCATCAACTTTTTTATTAGACTACATTACCTTAAAATAGATTACTATCATTATTTAACTAAAAAGTAGCGGTTTGTTCATATGTCAACTATCCTAAAAGAACCACAAATTGTATCGAAATGACTTTTTTGGAGCACAAGCAATTTTATTTCGAGCACACTTTATAATTATCCAAAATTTAATATCAAAGGTGTATTTTTTAATTGGAACACCCTATATATTATTCGATTGTCGAATTCTACGATGAAAGTTAAAGCCAGTTTCATTAAGGAATTTTTTGTTTAAAATGTAGGTTTTTGGACATATTTGGTTGTTTCGAAAACAAACAAGGAATAAATTTTAAAATTTTATATCCGTCTAAATTACAGTTGCTAGATACATAGGACCATATTTTCATGTTATTTTTAATTTTCTCTAAAACGGTATGGAAATTTGACAAAATATAAACGGGATTAATTTGGGATTAACAATTTTAAGGCAAGCAAAACATTTTTATGAAGAAAGCATTTTTTTCAAAATGTTAATAATAAAAAAGTTTTGCCGCGCCTCTTGTAAAGACAATCCGGGGACACACTGTATATCTGTTTTTTAATTACTCTTTTTTATATACGTTAATCTAAATTTTATTGGGTGTATCCTATACAAAGCTATTAAGAAGCCAACTAATGTGCTACTGAACTAACTCATCAAAGCAAATCAGGTTATAGACCTACAGGGCAGGCCGTTTTATTCTTATCTTAAATCAGAGATCGAATGTCTGATTCGGTATTAGACTACACCGAAAAAAAATGGAATACGTTCTAAACTCTGGTGGGACGCACGTGCGTAACATACGAATTTGAAAAGAGAGACAAAAAACAAGTGTTTTGACATTGAAATCTGACTTTGCAAGACGTGACGCTGTATATTTCGAGTTGGAGAGGTAGATAAGTTTATAATAAATGAAAGGTAACATGGTGGGTTCTATTCTTATAACAGTGCCATTTGATTAATTTGGTAGATGGTTCTTGCAGACGCCTTAAGAGGAAATTGGCTATTATTCATTTCTTTTAAGTGTGTCTAAGAGGGTCTTATTTTTTATATAATCTAGCGTCTTATTTTTTATATCGCACATATTTAAATTTACCGTATTTAACATGCACATTTTAATAAAGACTTTTAACTTAAAAAATACCGATAAACATAAAAAAATACAGAAATGTGTTATGGTGGTGAA